ATTTTTAAATTTGATTTTTAACCCTATAGTTTAATAATTTTTTCAATTTTTAATAATTTTCCAGCTATGGAAATGATAATTGGAAAGGATATTCATAACGGGAAATTTCATGCAGGACTCGATAGAAAAGCACCGGTTTTTTAACATTGAAAATTAGCATGTGAAATTCTACAATAAATTACAAATTTCACGCCAATCTTGTGATAACAAGAAGTCACTTCTTACGTTCATAAACCCATTTATATACGCCTGCCTTCATCGGTTCTCCTTTTTCGACCTAAAAATTTCAGATTCAAAATTAGACAAAAAAACCGTTGCAAATTAAGAAGTATCGGAACAGAAAGGAGAAAAAAAGAAGGGAGCGCTGCTTTTCAGGACTTTCATACTGTTGACAAAATTTCAGCCACTGTTTTCCCGGCTAGTTTTCGAGTTAGCACATTACCAAGTGTAAACTTTTGATGTGATGCACAAACGTGTGCGACAGCTGAATTTGAAATCTCTAACCATCCGATTGTCGTAGCTGAACTGGAAATCGGTGTGAAAAAGCAACTCGCAATACATTGAGTCTGAGAGAAGTCGTCATATAGAGGACGAGTTGAAAAACAACCATTCGAAACACATTCAAATCAGAAAATTCGAAAAAAAAAACCTTCAAAATTTGCTAATTAAAAAAGTAGCATAAAAACAGTTACCTTCTTCGGCTTCAATTCTTTTCCTTTACTTGCTGCAATATTTCTTCTAACTTCCAGTTTCTCCATAACAATTTTCAGCTCTTTTGCACGCTGCATCCTCTTCAACAATTCGCTGTACATTTTCCGCTGTTCATGTGCTGCTTCCTTAAAGTACAGCAATTCCCGAAGATCACTGGCGTCTGATATTTTGTTTTTTTTTTTTTATTTTCTGTATTTTCTGATACTTTCTGATATTTTATTCTATTCTGATACTTTCCATTTGTTCAGCATGCACGGCCTACAGGTGGCAACTCATATCCATGGAATGA